ATTCCGTCAACGTTGCCCTCCTCACATTTGTTGCATTTAATCGTTTGCCTTCTTCTGCTGTGCATACTGCTTGTTGTTGTAAAGACCTAAACGATCTTTTCGATTGCTTCAATAGCATGCAATTTGTAAAAGATAAACTTACCCTCAGATATGCAATCGGTCCAAGGTCGGAACATATATCATTCCTAGATCCAAAACTACTTGATTACTTAGATAAGGCTGCCTTCCTAGGTGTGAAGAGACAACCTTTTGTTTTGAAAGACTGGGTTGTTTCGATTAGAGGGCTGTTGATGCTCGTAGAGGATCTAAGTCAAACTTATAATACCAAGTCAATCCGTACTCGTCTCTTAAATCAAGATACTCTTGAGAACACCTTCTCTACTCTACGTCAGCAGGATGGTTGCTCAGACAATCCTACCACAAAACAGCTTGAGCGCGGGTTAAGAATGACTTCCCTCTCTTCCCTCCTGAAGCTAAGTGCTTCCAGTAATTGTGAGGATGAAATGGAGAAAGCAGTGCTCGGTCTCAAGAATTTACCAACTGAACTTTTTTCAAAGAAAAAACAACTCAGCTCCACTGACATTTTGAGTTTAACGGAAACAGAAACCTTTGATTTAAATGAAAATGTTGATCTAGACATAATCGAAGAATGTGCATTGTATTATTGTTGCGGCTTTATTACTCGGCAATTTGCACGCAAGCACAAGTGCCCTATCTGTGAGTTTAAGCTTTTAGTCGATCCAGATGAAAGAATGTTATTGGAAAACTATCAGATGTTTATGTATTTTAAGGCACACAGCAACAAGCTTGGTTCTGACTTCGGTCATTTAAAAGCACCATCCTTCGAAAGTTTTGAAATACTTAAAAAAATTGACAATTTGTTCCATCAAATCTTTAAGGTACGCTCTCATGAGAAGAATATTGCACTTAAGATAAGATTAGCAATTGACGAAGCAGGTTTAAGACTTAATTTGTGCACTGAAGATGCTGAGGATGAATTTCTGTCAACTCTCATTCGAACTCGAATTTTATGGGAAGTTAGATTTATGAATCGTAGATTTGAAGAGGAAAGGATTGAGGAGCAGGATAGGCGGAAGTTGAAAAAATTACAGGGCAAAGATGCTGCAGGAAGCTCAAAGGAGAAGAAAGGAAGTAGCTCTGAGTCTGAATGCACCAAAAAAATTGTAGCTAGATGCACAAAGCGAAAAGGAGAAGAGCAAGAGTCTGAGAGGACATCAACTAAAGTTGGTACCTGGGCAATCCAAGAAGTAACTGCTCAAGAGACCTCCAATCCACCTTCTTAAGTCATAAATCAGTGATCTGCATTTGAACACAGTAATTGCGACGGTCCCATTGTATTTTTAATTTTTTACATGTGTGCACTCTAATGCCTGCGACCATTTAATCACAATCCAATTCCTTTGGTCAGTAAAGTGACTTTAAAACTGAAATGTTGCCTTTCCTTAATGTTTGATTTGAATTTCTGTAAATAGGCTCAATCATTTTGCACTTGTAATTTTCTGTAAATTTCTGTAAATAGGCTCAATCATTTTGCACTTTTTCGATTTCATAAGTGAGTTTTCTTTGTCATGGCTATTTTTTCCTCCAAGTGAACCTCATACAACTGTGAATTTTCATCGTCTGATCATTGATTTGCAACTATATGCATATATTTGTTATTGAATTTGCAATTTTTGTTTATTTTAAAAAGTATATATTGTTCAGTGCTTGCATCTATTTTCACGACGATTCAATTTTATCCTCAGCGATGAACATACTTAAAAAATATGTAAATTTGTAAATGTTCCTGTAGCTTGCTTAATTGTGTTTGAAGTCATAATGAAGAAAGATTAACTTTTCTGAAGAAAGGAAACTTTGTCTTGAATATAAATGTGTACAGTTTTATCTTAATTGCTCTTAATTGTCTCTTCTATTTTATTAAACTGTTACTATATCGGATACTTAATTTATGAACTGATTTTTATGAACATTGTGAACAGGTTTATCATTTTCATTCGTGCATTTCATAGAAGTATCTCTGCTGGCAGATATATTTCAAGCATAAAATCAAATTTCTGTCACGTTACTTTTAGCTTAAAAAAAATAAGTGACCCATTCATTTCCGATATGGAATGTAAATTTTTGTTAATATTGCTTAACATTTTATTTCTATTATTTCTCCCATACAGATGTATTATTGTTCTTGCATTCTGTGCCTACCTGCAATTAATTAATTTTTTTGTTGTGTTTTCTCCCCTAAATTGTGAAAAATCTTAAAATTGTATCGTGGTGTTCAGCTCAGTACGCTCATCGGTGCAGTGACTCCCTCATTGTGCCACATTTTTAGCTTCCTTAACTAATATATTTTTGCTGTATCATAGATTTTTTAAGTTATAATAATAATAATAAACCCTCTCCTCTCCAAAAGACAATTCAGTGGTTCCTCTTTCTTACATTCCTGTGGATAAAACCAATGCATACTTGCATAGTAACTAATTTATCAACTCCTCTGAATCATATTATGATTATGCCAGGTTCACATTATCCAACTCAAATTGTTTACTGAAACGAATATGCCATTGTAACAAAATACAACAATGCCTAAGTCCAACTTTCCAAATTTAGCGATAGAAATGAATTCTGCTCCAAAGTATTGTTCTTGTTACCGTTTCAACTTTTCCCACTCACTTTGAAAGGACATGCTCTGGAGGAGAATTCATCGCTCGCTAAGTTTGGAAAGTTGGAATGAGTGGGGGGAACAAGATCATCAATTTGAATTTGGCGGGCGAATCAAGCCAGGGAACCTGAGCTCGTGTCACGAGCGCACTCTACTGGCCCACGGTGCAACTAATTGTAAATTTAGTTCAAAAAACCGCTACAAGATCGCTGTACTGTCAGCCGTTCTCCTCAAAATCGAACACAGATTTTAACACGGGGTCTTATGGGACTGAGTCATCCTAATACGTTAGTATATATTCATCCATGCCTGCGGGAAACTGTCTTTTGGAAATTTTTCCAACAAAACATTCTATTGGAATTTTGCCAGATTTATGAGATAAATTAATTTAGAATTAGAAACAGAGTGTACATACTATTAAAAAGTTTAGCTATCTGGCAACTAGGCAAGGAAAAATGGAGATATCAACCGGTGGCGTCGGTGCCCCGCGAATTTGCAGTCAGTTCGAAGTTTTAGACTTGGAAATCTAGTGGTTCATATGTAGGTACTCCGAAATGCCGCTAAAATTGATATTCGTTCCAACTGGTTCCAACTAGTAGATCTTATAATATCTAACGATGTTTTTACTCGGTTCATCCCGGTTCTTTCTCTCCAGTTTGTTTTTCGATTTGGCTATATTCATATTCCCTGTCCAAACGATTGATCTTGATTGATCTCGAAAACATTTTCAGATAAAGGTATAATAAGTACCTGAGTACCATCGATCCTCGACACTCGTTGATTAGGTATACCCCTCCCCATCACTGAAATCAAACTTGGAGGGTTGAATCTTCTTGAAATTGAGGGACTTGGAGGACAAGCCTCATGAGTGAAATTTTTGCGAATTATAGAAGTCGAGAGACAGTCAGAAAAATCATGGAGTACTCCATGAGAAAAGTCAGAAGTCAATTTAGAATATCAAAAAATACGTGTTAGATGTGTCAAAATTACACGGAAGAATTAATTACACGCCAGAAGCCTAGGTATATTTTAGCATATCAAGAAATACGTGTTCGTTAATTATCCTTGAGGGCAAATAAGAGTTCAAACTGTCTTTTTGATGCTTAAAAATTGGAATTTAGGAACGAATTTTACACTGACCAGTGAGAACTAGTCTTACTTATTACCCGAGACCATTAGTAACGCAATTTTTTTAAAACCTGCACTGGAAATATCCTTCAACCCTGGAATTCCCTTTAACTCAGCGCAGATGAGGGGAGTGTTCCTTCCGATTTCTTTTTAATTTTGCCTCTCCTTCAATTTTTGAGCTCTCAGGGTCAAACTTACGCCAACATTTTTAAATTGTCTTTCTCAGTGAGTAAGTAGGGATTTGCAAAAAGTTAAGGAACATTTTTCCCAGTTAAGGTACTTACCTACAGTTTCGCGAATCTGGTTAAAATTCCGAAGTAGACAAAAAAAAAAATAGAATGAGTAATAACGGATTACACACACAAAAAAAGTCGAGTTATAGGTATTCCTGAGAAAAAAAATCACTTCCCCAAGTAGCAGTGATCGCGATAAATAGCGATTTTATCGGATGATGATTATCGATAGAGATACAAATACAGGGTATACCAAAAGTCCGTCTCACCCCTGCTAACTTTTGAACGAATTGAGCTAGGGTAATGAAACTTTGGTCCCCCTGAGGGGGGGGGGGCAACTTTTTTTTTCTTCAAATGGCAACCCCTCTCTTGTGATACATCATTCGAAAGAACATATAAAAAACTAAGAAGTTTGGCGGAAACCGCAGATCAATTATCTTAATTTTTGACCGAGTTATGATAGGTCAAAGGTCAAATTTGACCTATTTTCAAAAAATCATAACTCTGGTTCAAATTATCGTAAAGAAAAAAATAAAATGGGAAAATTTACCAAATTGTGTCCGCTTTTAAGTAAAAATTGCAGAAATCACTTCGATTTAATTTTAAGCGGGGCTCGGACCCCCAAATACGTCAATTCAAAGGTCATTCAATTTTCCCGCGAAATAAGCAAATTTCCTCTAGATTTGCCTCCACATTATCTCAGTAAGGTCAAAATCAGTTCAACATTACCTTGGCAAGTCCCCAAACAGGAAAAGTTAAAAAAAAAAACGAAATGTAAACGGTCAAATTTAATCACCTTAAATTTCGTTTTTTTTTTTTTTTTTAATTACAAAAGGTGAAGGTATGACAAGATTCCGTTCTGGGCCCAATTCTTATGGGAGATGCATATACCTCTTTAAATTAACGACTACGTAGACTATAAACTTATTGGTGCTTTTGTAGGTTAATTGACTAAAGAGCTTTGATATTCAAGGGAGGATCGTCCTATCACAACTGTTCAATGGATATATTGCAGGGAGAGGGGGGGGGGATTGATTGCTTTATCTTTGAATGAAAATTGAGATATTTTGATAAAGTACGGCGTTAAGTAGTTGAAAATTCGGGGGTTGCGCCTCACTTATGGATTTTTTTTTAAATTTCATGGTAAAATAATGTATGGCAGCACTTCCGTAAACCTCTCCCTTTAAAATCGGAAATACGACGTCCCTCAAAAAAATGATAGGAAAAATTTCGGTTTGCACTATGAAAAAACACTGCACGTGTGCGTCAACATCCAATCAGAGTGACGGAACTCTAGATTTTTTCTGTGTGTATACGCGACCCGTCCATTTCATTGGTTGACGTCTGTCCACCCACAGAAGAATTTATAGGTTAGAACTTAGAGGAGAGTACGTACTTAAAAATTTTCAACGGTAACTTGGAGCACTCTCGGGTATTTAATATATTGTGTTAAGTTTGTTGAGTAATTGGACTTGGAAGCCTGAAAGCCTGAAGGATGGGATTTTACCGCCAAATTATTCATCTTCGTGATCCTCGTCTTGCTGTAGCCGCTGCCTGCACTTTACGTCGCCGTCGCCTCTTCCTCTACATACTTTAAGGTAAGAACCATGTCTATCATCTAACTACAACTCAACTACATTCGCTGACTGTAAAACAAACTCAGACATGGACAAGGTCCTTCTGGTCCCCTCAGAAAGATGTGTGTCCGGGAAAAGAACCCATCCATATTCCATGCAACATTCGTCCCTTCGGAATGCCCAATCTCCATTTCTAAAGAAAGTTCCCGTTTCACATCTAACTGTGTTTTGAGACTCGAAGGACCCAAATCTGAATTTGACAAGGTGGGTTAGAATTCAGTCATCATATGTTGAGGAGTGTCAATCTCTTATAAGCTCTGAATAACCAACGCGCCACACTTCACAGATTATTACATTCTGTCAAGAGCTCATCATTGATGAGTGGTGCCGTACAGTACTTAGACCAAACCTCCTCTGCTAACTAACCCACAATTGAAAGTTGCAGCGACAATTTCCTTTTTGTCACTGAATCGCTGATTAATTGTTTCCACCTGAGAGGGACTCATGATGCCTTGACCCTGCTGTAAGGAAGCTCAATTTGCATGATACTTGAGTGAAACGTTAAATTTTTGCGGCAATAAGTTCAACTTAAAGGTTACGTTTCCTAACATGCTGCTAATCATGAACCAACGAGAATTGGGCCTGTTAATTTTGTCCTAAGAACAATCTCACACCGGTCCATGTGCATATCAAAAGATCACCATATACGGAGCACCAGCTACCCTGTGGAGTACATGAGATCCGACGTAGGTAGCCTAAAGACTATAATTACACAACCCAGCCGTAAAAGTCTATTTCCAAGTCAAAATTCTTTTATAATTTAGTGACCCATTATACCATGTCCGTCTATCAGAATAAGGAACCCTAATTACTCTTCACATTAATTCCTAGGTTTTTACTGAGTGTCAGAAGCCACCAGCGTTTCAAGTGTAGTCCAGTCATCATCCTTTTCATACCACTGTAGTTTTGGGAAGCATGCCGAGCAGGAGTGGATAGTTCAGTTTGCGCACATGGGCCTAACATAGGTACGTAAAAGCTGAACTGTAAAGTTACGTTTCCCAACTTGATGTCGTATCATAAATCAACAAGATTTGGGCCCTTGACTTTGGTCCCAACATACAATAACCCCATTGCATGTGGGTATCAAAAGAGCACAATGTAAGGAGCACTAGCTACCCTGTCTAGACATATGGGATTAATCCAAAAATAATTGTGTGATTTCGATGTCGATTCAATCGATTAATGATAAATCGATATTATTTGACTGATTAATTATCCATGTTGAATTAATTGACAATTGGAAGCTCTTTTTGATGGATTTTCATGTTCATCCTTAAAAAATTCAATATTGGATAACTTTTGAATGGGAGAATGAATCTATTTCCTCTGCTAAATGATCCATTTAAGAAAAGTAAACTCATTATTTCAGAGAGATTTAGCCATTAAAAAAATTAGGTTCATTTGCATTTCTTTAAATTGTTGCAGCGTTCAAATTGAAATCCTAGGGTACCGTATGCTTCTGAGTTTTGAATGAGAAACAATTACTGAGACAAATCAGAGCAAATTCATTAAAAGAATTCATTATGGAAAAATTTAAAACTTCTAGAAGAAAATAGAAACTAAAAATAATTATTTCAAATACTCAAGCTGTGGTACGATTCCCAAAGTACAAAATCATGTATCTCCATTGCGGCGTCTCAAACATCCTGTCACACTTCATTTTTTCTTTCGAAAACTAGTCAACTTAATTTCTCGAAAACTTTCTTGTTTTACTCCTCTACTAGTAGAATATTCTGTATAATTCAAGTTAAAACAGATCACTTAATTCTCTTTGAATAAATAAAATAAGGGCAGACATTTTAGAACACCGCAATGGAGATACCTGGTTTAGCACTACAGCAATCGAATTGAACTCTTTTCGCTACAAAATTTTCAGATTAAGTAAGTATACTTCAGAATTTTTCATAACAGTCGTAAATCATAGCTACTGAATGAGACGAATTAACATTAAAATAATTACAAAAAATTCAGGGCGTTCAACATACTTTTCAAAAATGAAAACCCTGATAATTCTTCAATTCCTTGACCAAAATGCAGTTTATTCCCTAATCATTAGCAATTTTTAAAGAGGAAATTCCATGCTAGTCCCATATTTTTGTTGTCAAAAAGTAAAATAAAAACTCGCATCACACAATTTGCATTTTTTGCAGTAAAAATATGGGATTTAGCGGTCAAAGCAAAATTTTCGATTATATTGATTAAATCGATTATTTGGACCAATTATCGATTAATTTTGAAATGATTATACAATTCTCGTTTTTTTTTATTATTGAAATGATCTCACATGTCTACCCTGCTGATCACATGAGATCTGACGTGAGAAGTAAAATGTAAACAAAAATGCTAGCCATCTTTTTGTAAGTATGAGCGATTATTTTTCAACCTTAATTGTTTTTGTGGCTGAATCGCCAATTGAGTCGTTCATAAGTATTTATTTACATTTTCATTGATTCCCACTTGCTTTTAATCCTTAGAACTTGATTTCACAGTTCTATCTTTGCAAACTCTTATGCAGAAATTTTAATTTTTCTCCGCAAAAAATCAAATTTTGTTCAGGATTTGGAAAATTTATGAAATAAAGATTCATCAGTAAAAAATCAGGAAAAATCATGATTTCCCAAAATGAAAAAAAATAAACACCCTGTAGACACAATACTTGCACAAGTCACCCTGTAAAAGTGTATTCCCAAGTCAAGATTCGTTCATAATTTAGTGACCCATTAAGTATATCATGTCCGTCTTCAGAATTAAAGTAACCTTAATTACTCTTCTCATTAATTCCTAGGTTTTTACTGAGTCCCAGAAGCCACCAGCGTTTCAAGTGTAGTCTAATCATCATCCTTTTCATACTACTGTAGTTTTGGGAAGCATGCCGAGCAGGAGTGGATAGTTCAGTTTAACAACCTGGTCCTAACAAAGGTATATTTTTTTTTTTTATTTATTTATTCTTTTGCTTTTTGCACATTTGGCTTCACAAAAACGTCATTCTAAATAAAGGTACTGATAGGTATAAACATATTTACATACAAATCCTCTTAAATTCATTCATTGACATTCAAAAATTCATTGATTGAGTACAGGCATTTTGCAATCAAATGCCTTGTGGCCAGCTTACCGAATGTTGGACTATATATGCTTTCCTGTATAATATTTGGCAATTTATCAAAGAATTTCCATGCCTTTGTTAGGTATGTGTCGTTCTTTGATAAACTGCTAAATTGGTGATATCTTGTGCCATACCCATGTGTCTCTGCCTTATCTCCCTTCAGCCTTTTAGCCAGTAATTTTAAGTGACTCATAATTATTTTGGCCGGTAATGTCAATATCTCATTTTTTATGAAGTGTTCTCGGCATGATGTATCTTGCTTCAGTTTCAGAATGGTTCTGATTGATTTTTTTTGGAGAATAAAGATTTTCTCTATCTGTTTATTACTCGCGCATGACCAAGTATTGATACAGTAATTTATATGAGACTCGACTAGTGCGTGATAGGCTAGTAGAAGAAGTTTTTTATCGCAGAATTTACTTAACATCCTCAGGACAAAAATTGACGAAGCTATTTTAGATCTTATTTTGTCACAATGCATTTCAAAGTTTAATTTATTATCAAGGTTGAGTCCAAGATATTTTAGTGCGTTTACTTCTTCTAATTGCCTTTCATCCACGAATATATTGAAGTTCCAATTACATTTAATTCTAGTATGTATCAGCATAAATACTGTCTTTTCTTCATTAAAATTCAGGAAGTTAATTTTGCACCATTGAAGTAAGTAATTCATGAGTACATAGGTGTCTTTTTCGAGATTCTCTAGATATTGACTGCAGACAACCATTAGGATGTCATCAGCGAATAGTAGGATTAAGAGTAATGATTTTAGAGCTTCCAATGTAATCTTCCTTTTAAAATATGTAGCTATATCATTAACAAATAAAATAAATAGAATTGCAGCAATCACAGATCCCTGTGGAACACCACCCAGTACTAACAACTTCTTTGATTTGAATTTCTTATTACCAACTTGGATTTCAACGTACTGAGTCCTCCCCACCAAGTAGCTTTCTAGCCATTTAAAAAATTTCTCACTGAATCCTATTCGTTTTAGTTTATACATTAGCAGATCAAATCGAACTGTGTCAAATGCTTTTTTAAGGTCAACCGCAACTATGACTGAATATTTGTGTTTCTTTCTATCAGTGAGTAATACGAGGTCTGTTAGATTAGAAACCGGATTTTGGTCATAACTAGCTTACTGTGCGTTCGAATTCAGTTTTCTTAGACTTTTCTGATAGCTGACAACATACTAAAGAATGCTACGTTCACAGATTTTGTTTATTTTGATCAGTGTTTATTCTGTGTCATCTTGAATACGAGGAAGTCAGGTGCGTTTTGCGATTTTCATCATACGATCACTGACAGAGCAAAGATTTAACATTACATTTTGTTTGAAGCTCGGTATACCTTGTACCGAAACTTTTGGTATGCTAAGTAATGTTTACCAAGATCATTATATGAGTTTTTCTCACTATTTTGAGTGGGTTAAACGATTCAAAACTGGTCAGGAGTTCGTTGAAGTTGAGGAGCATGGGAATCGACCATCAACGGCAACTAACATTTGTCACGTGGAAGAAGTGCGGGCAAAAGTCTCGAAAATGGTCGTTTCGAGCTTGCTGAACAGTGTAATATTTCTGAAGGCTCTGTACATACAATTTTGATAGAATATGTAGACATGCATAGAGTTTCAGAGTACACTTGCCCCTTGATTGTTGTCCGTTGAACAAAATCCAACCAAATGTTAATTTACCTGTAGCTGCTTGAACGTTCTAACAATGATCCTACATTTTTGAATAGGATAATTTTCGGTGATAATACTTGAGGGTACGGCTAAGATACGGAGACGAAACTCCAATCATCCTTGTGGATTGAAAAATTTAGTGCAAGACCGAAAAAAGAGAGACAAGTTCGGTCAAATATAAAAATCGCAAAACACCCATGAGGTTGCCGTACTTGAAGCCACATACCAACGAGGCTAATTAAGATTTTTCAAATCTGTGAACGCAGCGTTCTTAAGTATATTTCCAGCTATCAGGAAAGATCAAAAAAACTTAATTTGGACGCACAATAGGCTAGTTATGACCAAAATCCGGTTTCTAATCTAACAGACCTCGTACATCATGACATTTCTGTATTGCTGCCTCTGTGTTGAGTGATTCACGAAAGCCGTACTGGTGCTCATAGAGAATTTTATGCTTTCTTAAAAATCGAGAAATTTGCTTCACCACTATTTTTTCATACACCTTCGATAAGGGGGACACTAAGGACAGGGGTCTGTAATTGCTCAAGATTTCATTGGCGCCTTGTTTAAATAGAGGTGACACTTTGCTAATTTTTAGCGATTCTGGAAACGAACATTCTGAGAAGGATTTATTTATGAGAAGATTCAAGGGTGGAGTAAGTGCTGATTTGAACATTTTTACCGTCATGTTACTCAATCCATCGTGGCTTTGGGATTTTTTGTTTTTAAGGCTGTTTATTGCCTCTTCCACTTGGTATTCATCGGTTTTGTTCAGTTCAAATATTTCATTGACACTCATTATATTATCAAAGTCTTTATGTTCAATTTGTGAAGTATAGGATTTTCCCATAACTGAGGTAAAATACTCATTAAATTTATTTGCTATGTTAACAGGATCTTCAAAAATCTCGCCCTTGTATTCTATTTTATTTATGCTTTTTCTACTATTTTTTTCTTTTCTTTCTTCATTTATGACGGACCACGATGTCTGCCATGTTTTCAGATTTATTTAATCTGTCCGTTACCTGACTAGCTTTTTCCCTTAAAATTTTTTCTTTATACCTCCTTTTCATGTCTTTTTGCTCGTTTTTATATTGTTTATAAACTTCCTTATCAAATTCAGGAGATTTTTTTAATTGTTTCATCTTATTACTTATCTCTGCTATTTTATGATAATGAATTCTTCTTTCTTTTCTACTTATGACATTTTTCCTATTTTTGATCGCTTTAAATTTCTCAGGGAAGTATAGATTGTGTTGGTGTGAGATAGAAGTAAAGAATTCTTCGGCATTTTTACCAAGGTCGGAATTGTAGGTGTCGATAATAAAATTGGCGAACGAACTTTTAGCAAGCGGATCGTTATGATTTCTCATAAAAAAACCGTTCTCAGGAGACGTTTTTACAAAGTTTTCAGTACATATGTTGGATTCAATAGCAAGGTGGTCTGATAGGGCGTTTTCTAGGACTTTAGACTGAACAAGTTTGTATGGCACATTCGTGAATACATTATCTATTTTACTAGCGGTTGTTTCCGTGATTCTGGTGTATTCTGAAACTGTATACTTACAGCCATTCTCTTTCATGATATTCAAGTAATCCCTAACATGTTTATCGTTACATCCGGAGTCTAGGTTTATGTTAAAATCTCCAGCGATAATTAGTTGTTCTTTCAGACTTACATTATCAAGCATTTTATTTAACCTGTCTAGGAAATCATTTACATTAGAGCTTGGTGATCTGTAGATGGCAATCACTCTAATCTTTTAATCATATAAAAACTTCTCATCACTGTATTGTCCATTTTTCGCTTTTTCGCAATTTTTTTTCGTGGAAGTGGACGTACAATATTGGATTTTTCGTGCAACTCATTATTTTCTATATTTTTGTCTGTAAGGTTTACGGTAATGCTGCCATACTGCCGTGCAACGCAAGAACGCCGTAACTCCAAAATTCGAAAAAATTGAGTTAGATATGAAAATGGGGTAATTGAGGTACGGGAAATTTAATGTTGAGGTCAAAATTCTGATATCACCGTTAGTTTCCGAAATAAAGAGCCCGCGCTTGCCGTACATCCACCGAACTGGCTACCTCGACACAGCAAGAACGCCGCAACCGCCGCGTACACAGCAAGAACGCGGCTCATCCAGCGGCGCTGCATGGGTGAGCCGCGTTCTCACTGTGTACGCGGCGGTTGCGACGTTCTAGCTTGGGAGCGATCGGTGTTTTCCGCCAGTTAGCACGATTTTACCTAGCTGCGCTCGCCGCTTCTTCACCCGTCCCGTCCACCGGTCTGTGTTTTCGGCAAATGTGTGTGCCCGCGTTACCGTTCTACGTATTTTAGGTGTGATTCTCTGTGTTTTATTCAATGTTTTCACGAGAACATTTAGTGTTAAATTCAAAATGCCGAAAAGAACTAAAAAAATCTTGTCATTGAATTGTCAAGAATGTGAAATTTGAATTGAAATTTTGAACGGAACACACAGAAATATTTGAACAGAACACATTTTAAATTTTTAACTTTTTCTTCAGTTCTTCGTATTTAAATTCTAATTGTTCTCACGGAAAATATTGAATCGAAATGCTGATAACTCTCTTGAATTAACCATAAAAATAACATTCTACTCGGATCCCTTGGTGATATCTGTGATTCAGTATACCCTTTACTGAATTATTTATAAATAGTTTTGCGTAAAATATTTATAGATAGAAAGAACAATTAAATAATAAATTCCTGATTAGAATCTCTCTTTGGCGGTTTAGTCCTTCTATGGAATCATTGGGCTGATCATTGATTGCATCTTCAAATTATATATTACCTACATTTTATAAAATTCACGATTTGCTTAATCGACAATTGGACCACATTTTTGCTAAAGAAAGCTATTTATAGCTCATTTTAGAAGAAAACTAAGTGCCATTTGTTTACCTATGCAGATATTTTTTTATGGATGAGCAGAAATAGTAGTTCTTTATTGGGAAATGTGGTCCAATTCCTTATTCCATCGAAGCGATCTGGAAAATCTAATCAATCCCTTCAGTGAATTGAGAATTTGCAAGGGTCTGAAATTTGATAAATTTCGTGTTTAAGTGGAATCTACTGAGTGAACTGAACATGGAGAGGTACCCTTCATTCACAAATTGAGCAATTATTAGAGGAGATAAGACAAAATAACCGATTCTGCTAAAATATATGTGTTTAAATGGGAAATGCCACCCGATGACGTCACTAGGCGGTGCATTTTCTCACTTTTAAATCTATTTTGACACTATTTCTCATATCAGAAAAAAATTATAAAAAACACTGTGAAATCAGCTCCTTAAGCACTTTCAGATGAAGCAATAAAAAATTTGCGTGCAAATTCTGCATTCAGATTATTTTAAAAGAAGGTCAGGAAATATTGGACATTATATTTTTATGAAAGGGTGGGTAGGAATTTCAACAAACTCTGGCAATCTGGGACATTACTTTTAAGAAGGGGTATGAAGGAATTAGGCAACTATGAGCAAAATAAGGGTTGGGGTATGAATTGAATGCAAGTGAAAGTTAATCATGTGCTTGATGCTCCTGGATTTGGAGAGATTGGAGCATTATTGAGAGCAATAGTCGCCTTTCGCACAATGTTTTTATGTAGTTAGACACACAAGTGTGTGAAGAAGCGAAATGACAGAAAAAAACTTCAAAAATGTCAAAAGGGATTAAAGGAGAGGATGAAAACTTTGAGAGTCATTTTCTCGGTTCGCGCGGCAGTGGAGTTACGGCGTTCTTGCGTTGCATGGCAGCATAGTTAATCACACCTCATTACTTTAAAAACATCTTTAGACATGAGTGAAAGAGATTAATTTAACACACATGTACACACATCAAAACTTCCTTATCGTATGTCCGAACAAAAGTTCAGTATTGTTTCAATCACCTCAATCATGCCATTGATTCTACGTATTTAAGCCTTTTGAGTCGTGCTCAATCAGAGCCAATGACTGACATCAGACCCTTCACACAAAAACGATCACTAACTATATGTATGAGCAGTGCTGGTACTTATCAAAGTGCAAATACTTGAATTTGCAAATCATATCCCAGTTGGTGTTTTCTTCAAATTTCTTGTTCGTATTGATTTGCTCCTATTGTAATATGTCTATTAAAATCATTTGCTCCTCTCATTTGCTGACATGCTTCCAACATTATTACTTAACCTTGTTTCTGTCTTTATTACAGCTTTGCCTCCTATCACTCTGTCCTGGTTTCTCTCCAATTCGCCCAGACATTTGATAAGTAAGTACCAAACTGAAGGACTATCAAGTATCTAATCACCTTACTAGATTTCAAGGTCTGTCCTTTCGCAGCACCACTGCTAATACTGAATTGAAACTATTCAGGATAGAATAAAGAGTGATTTTCCTCTGCCCAAATGACCCCAACGACATCCAAATGTGGAATATGTTATCATTTCCTTACACCTTGCAGATTCCACACAAAAAGTAATTGGACTGGAAAATTATCCTTCTCTCCACGCCTGATATGCGCTACACAAGCTAACTGTCATCTGTAGCTGATCCTGTAAGTTAAAGCAACCATTTTCCCTCTCTGTAATTCTTAATACTTCGTTGTTGCGAGAAAATATGGTAAACCTTAGGAGCCCCTTAATACACCTGAAAGCTGGGAGAAATTTTCAGAAATTAAAGTTATTTATTGATCTGTCTTCGAAAAATACTGAAAGATTTCCTTCAAATTTCCACCTGCTCATCCTTCCTCTGCGCTTGATTATTTTGTCAGTCCAGACACGTGATTTTAGTCTTTGGGAGTCTGTTTGCCATCTGTTGCCTCCGGTTATCCACCAGATACTTTTCAAATGCATAGAAGTTTTATAGATTTGTTTTACTTTAATTAAATTATCACATTTAAGCTTTAGCAAACTCATAATCTTGTGTCGGGACTTTCTTGAAGGACAAAGTATTAAGCATTCTACAATTAAATACATCATAATAAGGAAATTAGTTTCAAACTCTCAATATAAATTTGATTATTTGTTTCCGATTTACAAAACTTTTCATGCCTGTTACTTTTCAACAGTTTGTCCTAAAAACTTGAACGTATTAATGCGAAAAGGAACTATATCCAAGAGGAAAGATGGGGTATGCTCTTTGTTAGCTGCATAAGAAACAATATAAAAGTGGATATAGTTCCTTTTGACAAAGTGGAAAAGCCGAATTTTACATTAAATCAAAAGAAACTGAGCGCTAACTCATGAGCCAAGGGGATTGGACTCCGTGATAAGAATGCATGGGAATTATTGCTACTTTGCCGCTGCTGACGTCACTGTTGCAGCAACAATTCCTATGCATTCTTATCGCCCGAGCAAAAACGAGCACACTCCATCTTTCCTCTTGAATATAGTTCCTTTTCGCCTAAATACGTCCACTTCATCTTTGTCTCAAATTTATTTTCTCCTTTTTTGCAGACATCTCTGTCAATCTCGTGCCATATGATCCATGCTCCTAGAGAAAAAACAAAGGTGATCGGGAGTTAACTTTCGAAGCCGTCTTGCTCGTCAATCTGACACGTTACTTTACTTGGTACAGCTGTGATTGCAAATATATCGGAAACGGTGGGTCTATAGAAAAAATTTTAAAACAAAAAAATTGCTTAAAATTTGATTTTCTATTGAGTACTCGGAAAAATTTGACTCCCTGCAACACCCCTGCCGATTTTTGTCTGAAGCTTATGACATCGGTTGTTGCAAATCCTTAACTTGTAATCATGTCCTGTTTTTTCTCTATGCTCCATGCTATCACACGTTTTCAGCTGCAAAATTCCACTGTAATAACAGGGTGTCTGCAGGTCTGGAAAACCGGGAAAAATCAGGGAATTTGATCACTGTCTGGAAAACCGGGAAAAGTCAGGGAATTCGATCGAAAACCGGTGAAAGTCAGGGAATTTTCGCAATTCGAACATTCCGCGGCTATTTTTGCTCGTCACTGCCGAATTGGCCGAGTAGCGCGCTCGTGTGGCTGATAATGTAAACTGCTCTATTCAACCAGTTTGCAACATGCCCGCTAGGTTCACTAATGTGTGTTCGCTAACTTTAAAGATCGAATCGATCTGCCCTATTTAATTTATGTACTTAATTCATGCCAAATGGCAAGATAGACTAAATAGATTTGAATAAAGTTAACTTGCTAACAGCAGAAAATTACAGTAAATAATGATAGGAAACTAAGTTTTGAGCAGATGGTTAATCAATTTTTTCAATAAGTTAGGAAATTTAATGAAAGTGCTAGAATTTTAGTTTTTCTTTAACTAAGTAAAGAAATATTTAATGTCAACTGCATTTTGCGTGAAATTTTTCTGGTTCTTAAATCATCATATTCACAACTGGTGCATCCACCTTGTAGAAATATTATTGGTGGATTATATTCTAACGAGCCAACGCTTGTTGAGTATAAGACAAATTCAATACCAACAATAGGTTCTGGAATCCACTGAATTAATTGACCTTAAAAAAAAAAAAAAACCCCGAATCAAGGAAATTTATCGAAAATCGAGAAGAGACTCATATTTCCTCTTGATTATAGCAAAATCTACCTGAGTTAGGCACATTTACAACTCTTGTTTTATATTTTAAGAAAAAGAGACTTGTTTTTTCAGGACACTAAGTAATATGACAATATATGAAACCACCAGGGTGAACTATAGTTTGAATTTTCTAAAGTATACGAGGCAATATGTCACAAAGAGAGCGTAATAGAGCTTAAAAATTAAATTTTGAAGGTGAATTTTAGTCTGAGTTTACCATTTTGAAATTAGCTTTATTTTGAGTATTTAGGATCTCGTTCCTTTCAAAAGTATTACTCAACTCCTTCCAACGCCATGGTAATTCAGAATATGACTTTACGGGGTCATTCCTAAGGATAGTTTTTTTTTTATATTTTCTAACTAGTTCATCGTATGGCTAAACCCAAAAAGTCAGGGAATTTTGTCATTTTTTGTCATGGAAAACCTGGAATTGTCAGGGAATTTCATTTTGAAAATCTTGTAGACACCCTGAATAACCTCGTCGAAGGAAACCCATTTTCGGATTCAAAATTTAATTACAAATATATATCATGTTTAAAATAATCTACTTAATATCAGTTTTAACTTTAATTGTTCAAATTTAATCGCATGATTTTATTTCCCTCAGTGCCCTTCAAATTTTTCGTCTCCAGCATTTCTTCGAAGTCTATTTCCCAAGACTTTTGGAAGAAAGTTCACTGAATCCTTATATCGTATCCCAGAAAAAATTCGCAGGAATAGAAAACCACCTCTACACTAGGTGCTGCAAGAATTATAAAATTTTGCAAGAAATTGCTGAAAATCAGATTTTTGGTCCCTATTTAAAAACTTTCCAAGGTGCATTTATCAGAGGTCAATTTAAATTTAATTTCCAATTCCAATTCAGTATCAATAGATCACCTCATTACCAACAATAAATTTGCTCCTTATGAGAAGAAAATTCGAATTTATAAAAACTCTTTGAAGCACCAGGATGACAAACCGCAGTCTGAAAATATAAGGGCGTGCTGACTTTGAGACAAAGATGGAGTTTTGAGGACAAACTGTTGAAAAATAACAGCCATGTTTAGTTTTGTAAAATGAAAATACATGATAAAATTTTGGTTGGTATTAAGGTTATTTTGTTGCAGTTATGGTTTTTTTACTGGATTTTAAAGAAAGGAAATATCTTTTGTTCCTTCATTATTTTCATTTTTGGTTTTTTTTTAATTTTACTTATTTATTTTTTGCGCAGATGGCTGACCTGCAGGCATACTTGCAGGAATGTTTGGCCACTTATTTTGCCAGACAAGCAGTCCAACCTGCCCCATCAACAAGTTCAACCTCTCCACAGGCGGTAATCGGCACTGATAATGGAACAGGGCTTTTGCCACCTCCCGCAGCCGCTGGATCGTCTCCAGTTGCTTCTCCGGCTTCGATATCAAATACACAGCAAACACCCCTCTCTCTACAATATCCCGCAGTCACAGTTTCTTCAAGGACTCCTGTGCTTTCTAGTACCTCAGCGACACCACAGCCTCAGTCGCTTCTATCAGGGGTGGTTTCATCACAGGCTCCATTTCTTTCAAGCTGTTCGTCAACACCTCAGTCTCAGTCACTTCCTCCTTGCACAGTTTCTTCTCAGACACGGATGCTTTCTAGTGCCTCAGCAACACCACAGCCTCAGTCGCTTCTATCAGGGGTGGTTTCGTCACAGGCTCCATTTCTCTCAAGCTGCTCGTCAACACCTCAGTCTCAGTCACTTCCTCCTTGCACAGTTTCTTGTCAGATGCCGGTGCTTTCTAATCTCTCATCTACGCTTCTATCTCAGTCACTTCTTCCAGGTAGAGCGTTTTCACCAACTCCAGTCCTTTCTTATGCCTCAACTCCTTCGAGCTCCCAATCTCAGTCATTTTTTTCAGAACCTCTGAGAATAACAAATATACTTACACCTCAGCTGACACCAACGACCAGTTCAACTCTACCAGCTTCTACTCCAGTTTTCTCGAGGCAGAACTTTGGCCGCAAGAGAAAGCAAAGTGTGCCCAGACCAGAACTACACCCGACATTCCATAGACGGGCAATTTTGCTTCCCCTCCCAAACCTGGAGCGTATAACGAAATGTGCCATTAATTTCCTTTTCAAAATTAAATTCGGGTATAAGTCAACCGAGTGGCGGAAAGAATGGGACGAAACTCAGGTTCTGTCTCATGTGGAGAGTTTATTCCCAATGCTGCAACACCGAAGATTCTTGTTTCAGGATAAAGGGGTGCAAGGAGAAATCATTCCGTTGAATGTCGCTCCAGATAAGCGTTTAGATGGAAGGGAATTATTCCGCATCACCTCCACATGTGTATATATTGCACCGGAAGCTGATTTACTCTCTAATGAGTTGAAGCAGCAGTTCTTGGAAATTAACAACAAGAAAGAAGTGGAAAAAGCAAGGAAGGATGCGCGTAAAAAAAAACGACTCGAATCTGACAATGATGATGACGATCTGGATGACCCTTCCTGTTCCACATATGTCATTGTTAATGATCATCATAACCAGATGGGTAATGAGGCTGGCCCTTCGAATGCTGTGTTCGAAATGAATCCCAATCATGTGGCACCTGACGAGATTTTTGAAGCCGAAGATGGTGTTTTTCACTTAATAAGTGGTGACACTGTTTCTAAGCGATCCTTTGAGTCAACGGACTCACTATTAATGTTTTTTAGTGAAAAAACTGCTAAGATTCCTTTGACGCTGCACTTGGAGCGGAAGAATCTTTTTGATCAAACCATCGCATTTTTCAAAAGTGGAGAGTTGAAATGGAATTGCAAATTATTGATAAAATTCAATGAGGAAGGCGGTTTTGATGTAGGAGGTGTCACTCGTGAATTCCTTGATGAATTAATGCACGAAATTAGAGGTAACAATAATTTATTCGAGGGAGAAATTCACCGAAGCTTGAAATATTCTCAGAAGCTATTGTCAAGCAGAGTTTATTACTATGTAGGTCAAATCATAGTCCTTTCTTTGTTAAACGGAGGACCTGGTCCACACTGCTTTTCGCCTGTGTTGTACAAGTTACTCACTTCAGATGTTGTTCAAGATTCTTTAATCAAGGAAAACGTGCCGAATCCGCATTTTGTGCTTGCCATCAAGTATGCTGAGGCCGCCCAAAGTCTAATTCAATTGAATCAAGTAATAGCTGAACATACACTGTTTGAATTGGCTGGCATCGAACAGCAACTCGATGGAGTCACCTTAGAAGATGCCAAAATTAGTGTTGTTAAAGGTATGTTCCTTCATCTACATCATAATTTTTACAAAATTCATTTAAATTCTCTCACTCAGTGAATGGACCACTAGACAAGGTACGAATTTCAGCATTCTTATTCATGTTTCAAGACTAAAATTTCACGTAGAACACGATGCGCACAACGTAAATTACCGAAATCAACTCCTTACGAAGATATGTAATTATTCTTGATGGGTGAATTCAAACCACCCGCTCATGAAAACTCAATGCTCTACGTGATTCATATCGCGCGCTATACGTTATCATGACAGTATCTGCAATTTAAAAATCTGGCAGCCTCAATTTTGACGCTTTGGCTCAGCTATAGCAAATTGCTCATAGTTTGAACAACACATGGTGGGGAATGAACATTGCTCGATTGAGAAGCTTGCTGAAACCGTTGTAGTGCGCGATTTGACTCAAGTAGAGCTTTGAGTTTCTTGTGAGCGGGCAGTTCGAATTCCTCGTAACCAATGTGAAATAAAAACGTTGAAATCTTCCTTAGGAGTTAGTTTCAGTAATATTCCTTGCGCTAATCGTGTTGTACGTGAAACTCTGGTTAAGAAACATGTATCAGATTGCTTAAATTTGTACCTTGTCTAGTGGTCCATTGTAACTGTAACTGAATAATTTTATTTAAACATTATAAGAGAAAACTTGTATGCCTTCAATTTGATAAATTGATCTATTTTTACGATTTTGAAAAATAGGTTACCTAAAAATTTGAGAGTTTATCAAGAGTGTATTACATTCCTGACCATTAAAAATCGCACCTTAAAATACAACAACTAACTCTACTAACATGAAAGTAGAAGACTGATTCAGTGCAACTTCAACCGGTACATTTTGATTTCAAGGGGTTATAGAGCTTTGCACCAACGATCATTATGTCGAAAACCCAAAATCTGTTCCTAATGTCTCAGATAATTGGACACCGTTCCCAAGCAGGGAAAATTCAGAATTTGCAAGTTTAGAGAAGTTATTTTTGAACTCTCTACATTCTTGTTGTTAAGTTTTATTTTGATAACTCCTTAAATCTTGGAAGTCAAATTCGGCTAATTCCAGGAAATTCAGCCTTACTTATTGTTTCATTCATGTGACTGGAGCCACTCTTCTAGAAAATGTACATAGAAATTAACATCTACAAGCGATGTTGCAAAACTTTGCAGTGCAGATATTATTTTGCCTCATTTTATAACAGTCAGCAAATATGTTATGTTTTGCTTTCAATGAGTGCATATTGTTTTTTTTGGACCTATTCATCCTACAGAGATAAAGACATTCCACATCACTAAGTGTTGTTCAGTGATGATTCAAATTTTAAAATTTACCCACAGGGCTTTCATCTTGACATTCAGTCGTCTATATCTCATATGTGCCTGTTTATAGTTAGAAGCATTTTGCATGTACTGAACGTAGCTTTTTAAACGTTAGTTGTGACAATTTAGTCTGAGATTGAAGGAGTGTGCCTCTTTAAGATACATGTTTCATGATTTAATCTTAAATCATAAATCCTCAAACATTTGGTAGCAGTGTCTGCACTTTACACGCATATCACTATTGTTCTCAAAATTTTCCGTCTCAGAATGTATCCAATGTAAAATAACACTACATGGTTAATATCTCTCGTAATGTTTTCAATTCAGTTAACAGGCAACCGTTCTTCTAAGCCTCATTTTCTGCTTTTGTTAACACGTCTTTTATAAGTTTATGAATATGCTTTTCTCTTTGGAGTTGTTGAAGCTTCCTGTAGTTAAGTTCCTCACACTATTCTCATTTATTTTGTTTCACTTTCCAGAAGCAGTCGAGTACGTGCTGAAAGAGCGTGTGGAAAAACCACTAACCCAACTTAAAGAAGGGCTGAGCCCTATTCTGGATTTGCTAGAGGAGAATAAGGCGTTAATGGAACCCGTTTTTGTAGCGGGGAAATTGCCCCTGACTGCAGAACGGTTATACCGTTTGTTTAACCCTGAAGCTGCAACAGATGAAGAGGAAAACGTTTCCAGGCATTGGCGCAGATTTTTAACTGATTGCGAACGTAAGTGATCGGCTTTTTTCACCAATGTCAGGGGATCAACACTATTACAAGACTTTTTTTTAAGAACTATTCTTCCTGCTTTATTTAATTTTAGTTTAAATACTCAATGTTCACAGTTTATGAGGATTTTCGAGTCAAAGGTGATAATAGAATAGAATAGTTAAATACATAAAAAAAAGAAAGAAAAAAAACACACACATTGAAAAGGAATGGCAAACATGAAACTTGAAACCGAAAATAAAAAAAATAAATTCAAATAAAGATATAGACTCACTTGTTTTTACGGTGCTCTGATGAAGGTGGTTTGCTATTTTTGCCTGAGAAGCAGGACTGGATTGCTGTATATAGATTCATTTTCATTACTCTTAAACTGAACTGCAAATGGTGTAAATATACAAAGATTCTATTCACAAGAATGTGTATTAATTTCAGGTGGAGAATCTGTCGTCTCCCTGGCTGCTGTTTGCAAGTTTGCTTGCGGACTCAGGGAACTGCCACCTGGAGGCTTATATCCAGCACCTTTCTGCCGTATAACGAATAGCCTTCTACCTGAAGCCTCTACATGTAACAACGAAATATCCATTCCCGACATAGTAACCTATTCTCAATTTAAAGAGAGTCTAGAATTAGGAGTTAAAGGTTCAGAAGGGCTGATCTCCGATTAACTCTGATCGAACAAAATTGTGCCGATGAGCCTGTTGCAAACTTCAGCTGTAGCCTTGAAAGTAGTTTAATCCTGTACCAAATTTCTAGAATTTCTAAAAATTTAAGCGAAGATCCTGTAGCCCCAAACTGCTCTGCTTTTGGGAGGGCCATGAAAAGAAACCACTGATTTATAAGCAAACGTTGCAACGTCTATTGCAACATTGGAAAATTCACTGCGCGGTGAATGTGTTGAACCAGCAAGGCATATAGAACCGAAGTGGCTACTCCCACTGGGAGTGAAGGGTAGGGGTGGGTAAACACCACTGTTTCATATACTAACGTTGCCATGTCCATTGCAATAGACGTGGCAACGTTGGTAAATGAAACAGTAGTGTTTGCCAACCCTCCCCCTCCTTTTCCCACCCCTCACCCCTCCTTTTCCCACCCCTCACCCCTCCTTATCCCATTCCCTCCTCTCCTATCCCCCCCTCTCCTCTCCTATCCCCTTCCCTTCTCTCCTATCCCCTTCCCTCCTCTCCTATCCCCTCCTCTACCATCCCCATCCCTCCCCCTTCCCTACCCTCCCCTCTCAGTAGGAGTAGCTACTTTGGTTCTATATCCCTTGCTGGTTCGAGACATGCACTCCACAGTAAATCTCGGATGCAAGTTGTGGCACCTGACGAGATTTTTGAAGCCGAAGATGGTGTTTTTCACTTAATAAGTGGTGACACTATTTCTAAGCGATCCTTTGAGTCAACGGACTCACTATTAATGTTTTTTAGTGAAAAAACTGCTAAGATTCCTTTGACGCTGCACTTGGAGCGGAAGAATCTTTTTGATCAAACCATCGCATTTTTCAAAAGTGGAGAGTTGAAATGGAATTGCAAATTATTGATAAAATTCAATGAGGAAGGCGGTTTTGATGTAGGAGGTGTCACTCGTGAATTCCTTGATGAATTAATGCACGAAATTAGAGGTAACAATAATTTATTCGAGGGAGAAATTCACCGAAGCTTGAAATATTCTCAGAAGCTATTGTCAAGCAGAGTTTATTACTATGTAGGTCAAATCATAGTCCTTTCTTTGTTAAACGGAGGACCTGGTCCACACTGCTTTTCGCCTGTGTTGTACAAGTTACTCACTTCAGATGTTGTTCAAGATTCTTTAATCAAGGAAAACGTGCCGAATCCGCATTTTGTGCTTGCCATCAACGTTGGTAAATGGAACAGTAGTGTTTGCCAACCCTCCCCCTCCTTTTCCCACCCCTCACCCCTCCTTATCCCATTCCCTCCTCTCCTATCCCCCCCTCTCCTCTCCTATCCCCTTCCCTTCTCTCCTATCCCCTTCCCTCCTCTCCTATCCCCTCCTCTACCATCCCCATCCCTCCCCCTTCCCTACCCTCCCCTCTCAGTAGGAGTAGCTACTTTGGTTCTATATCCCTTGCTGGTTCGAGACATGCACTCCACAGTAAATCTCGGATGCAAGTTGCAATAGACGTGGCAATGTTGGGTTATACAACAGTGGTGTCTTTTTTTTCACGGCCTTCCCAAAAAAAAGATGCATTGTATCATAATGCCCGTTTTTGCCCTCTATGGAAAGGTCTCCATTTTCACATTTGGTGAAAATTTAAAAAAAAATTCTGGTCTGAGTGAGTGGGAGTCCTTTAAAACTTTTAAAATGTACATGAGGTGACAACCAGTGATTCTGCAATTCCGTTCTTTTTGTTATTGCCTATTCTTTACTTTTGAATGCGTAAGGATCTTTCTCTTAAGTACGCATTCATGAAGGTACCTTAGTTTACCTTACTTACTTATTAGCATGATGGGGCAGTCGCTAGTGGCTACCATTCAACTGACTTATCTCTCCTGTCTTCTCCTCATCATTGTTCATTTAATTTTTCCAGGTCTCGTAATTCACTATGACTTTCCTCTTATACCTACACCACCTAATATTAATTTATTTCTGATGTTTTCTGTATTAACTCAGTAGATTTAATATTCTCAATGTCAATTGTGTGCTCTTTGTGCCTTTTGCATTTTTTTTCTTTTCTTTTTTTGTTGGTCACTGTACTTGTAAGAAAAAGTTGAAGCCATAGAGGCTCAAAGTAACTTTGCAATTTTAAACGTGTATTTCTTGAAATAGCAGGAACCGTATTTAGCAGTCCCTTCCAGTCTCCCCTACTTTCATTTTCACTTATTATTTACCGTAAAAGGATGCTGCTCTAAGAACTAAAGAGTGGATATTTTGAGATGAAAAGTGTGTGAAATGTATCCATTTAGATTTTTAGCTGAATTATTATCGTTTGGAGTAATGTTATTTATTCCTCTCATTTTCATTAATATTATTTTTTTTAAAACTTATATTCCTAATACTCTTTATTATACTCTTTGTTCTTCATTAAACCACTTGTTGACTTTTACAGATAGTTGCTCCGTTAGCTACGCTGACGTGCTTAGAATATATTGTATGTTCTAATTGTGTATACAATTCTCCACAAGTCTTAATTTTGATTTGCTATTTTAAATTGTTTTCAGAAAAAGAAGGGTCGTACAGTTTAGTAGCTCTTTTCCTTCTTACTTCAGATTGTAGTAGGTACTAGAGTTTCTGTTCTGGAGACACCCTGATACTAATGGCTTCTTTCTTGTAATTCAAGCACAACATTGTTTTGCTGAAGAGTAAAGTCATGAAGGTCAGCACTGTATTGGTTCAAATTCCCAGTAGTTTTCTTCAAGTTTGGCGTTTTTTTTCCCACTTTATTCTTGAACCTTAAAACTAGTGCTCAGTAACTCTATATTTCCTTGGAGAAATTACGCTCGCTAGATTTTTCTAGAATTTTTAAAGCACTTTTGGAACCTGCTCTCTCCACTTTATAGGTTAAAGGTTCTTGGCTCCAAAAAATTATGGTTGCAGGGTGTGAATATATTTTCTAAGAAAAAGATTGAAAATTTAGGTAAGCTTTGTATTTCAGCCTACTAAAACCTTAAGAGGTAACTGGACAGTAATTCTAAAGATCAAGAACTTAGTGTCCAAATAATTCACAGAAATTCTTTCTTTGAATCTCTTTATTGAACACTGTTTAAAATCTGTATTGTTATTAACATTTTGATCAGCTTTTGTTCATTTTCTTATGCCTTTTCAAAATTTGAGAAGTGTGAGGTGTAAGTAGCTAGCTTTAATTTTTTGTTTTGCTTTCCATAAGAAAGCGCCCATTAGAGTTAGTTTATTATTTCCCAATGTGACTTTTCTTTCATTGTAAATGTTATTAACTATTAGTTTTCCAAGACTAGAGATAGCGCATAGTCTTCTTGCTGTTTACCTCTTCTACTTACATTGAAGACTGATTTTTTAATATTTCTCAGGAATTGCATTTTAACGCAAGAAAGTTTTGCATTAGCTCGAAGCGTATTGTAAACATTTGTGTATTTCTTGATCTCACCCTCGGGTATTTTGTTCCTTTTTTAATTTTCCAATGGCTCATAGGAATTAGCTCTTTCCTTTTTACTCTCCTTTTACAGGGTGATCGATTTTCTTTGTTTGTGAAAGATTTGGTACAGAGGCATTAGTCGATGAAATAGGTAGACTCTGGTCGTCAATGAAATCCTACAAATCTGCCTTTCTAAAACGAGTACCTGGAAAGCACCAGTTACAGTGCAAGAGTCCCATTTTGCACCGATGTCACTGCCTTATTTTTTTATTAGTATGCTTACTGACCAGCTTAAATGTTGTCCCTGTCGGAAGATAGGTATTTCTAACCAAGTATCATACTCACCAATATTACTGGATATATGTTAACTTGCAAGATCCTCCATACTTTGATGTAGCAGTTAATCTCTCTTCGCGTTTCATGTTCATGTTCGTTGTTCAGTTATTTTGAAATCAAAGACGAATTTTTGGTAATCAAAGATATTTTAAAATAAATATCTTTTCCCATAATTTTTAAATTCATCTTGCTGATTGGACATTCTACATACAACACATGCCGCTTTGACTCTGATCTACATCCAAAATGTTTTCAGTTTATTAATGTATAATCGTCCTATTGTCTTTATGTCTTTACCGGGATCATTTTTTGAACGAACATTTGTTAAAACCTAAAAATAACCAGAATATTTACTCTATTGTCATCATATATCAATTTGCGCATAGCATGCAGCACATGATTTCCAACTATTAGTTTCATACACTCAGTTGCAGTCCGCTCTCAATATTTTTATAATTATAATTTTCTCCATTTATGTTCTGTACTTCTCTAAGCAGATTTTAAGAGGATTGGCACCACCTCTTGTTTTATTTTTTTTTTTCTAAGAGTTAATTCAGATACTGTGATGAAATATTTTGTTCTTTTTTTGTGAAAGTCATTTTTGATTTGTAAAATATTTTATCAGAGTACCTATTGTGTACATCGTAAATATGTTCGGTGCTAACATTTTTATAATAAATAAGGCAGTTGCCGTTTTCGTTTCTTTACTTTGTTGTGCAATTTAGATATCATTTTCTTTTAGTTCCAAATTCTGATGCCACAAAGTGGCTTGTACAGCGCTGACTTTAAAAATCATTTAAAAATTTAAGAACGCAAATTCTGCCAAAGCAAAACCCTGAAAGCTTCTAAACGTTCTTTTCGACTCTCAATAAGCTTCAAACGGTTTAAAAGTAAGAAATCTGAATGATTCATCAATAAAAAGTAGCCTTCTCATCAGAAAAGCATTGATTCCCTGCAGCTTTCTGACTTTCGCGCCAGCAATACTGACGTTATGCGCAGAAGACTCTCATTTTAGTTCTGGGAATGACTGACCCATATGAGTACGTAGATCTTGGGCAACTGAGTCACTGTTCGCTGCTCTGGCAGAGGAAATGATGAACTGGCGCGCACGCGGGAGAGCTTTAAGGAATTCAAATGTGCGGCGCGGGACACAGTCCCCGCCGGAAAACCAGGATCCACTTATTTTTCTGGAAACTGGAGATTTCGGGAGCGTCTCGCACCTTTATTCCAGGTGGCGGTAGCCACCCAGGCTCAATCCTTAAACACCCCCCCCCCCCAAAGTTTAAGAAGAGGGTAGCCTGTGTCTCACGATAAACATGGGGTCATAAATGTGACATAATCAGGCTGTTCTCATTGCCTCTTGAGCTCTTGAAAGCCAACGAGAAGCTTCGCCTTGTCAGATTGACCGCCTTATATTGATCGTGATACATCCAAGTAGCACAGTGCAAGAAATTTGATTTTTCTACCATTGCATTGCAATATTTTTACGTCATTTATTCGATTTATGCCGATTTTAAACTATCCAAAAAATGAGCTCCATGCGTTAGAAAGATAGGCAATATGCAATGCAATAAAAAATTGCAAATTATTTCAATCTTATTGCAGTAAAAGTTTCAATAAATGGGGCCCCTTCAAATAGAAGGTAGGCAATATACACAACACTCAGTGAAATTGCAATAATTGTATGTAATTGCTAACTTATCGCAATCTGTGCTTCTTGCGACACGTACCTAATAGCATTACACAAGATATTTTCTTTTACACCTCCGAAGACGTAATTGCTAATTGCTCATAAGACTATACTTGATTCCCGCTGAATACCTCGGTTTGACCGCAAATTTAGTAGGAAGGTAGCCGATGGATTTGGAATGTTTTTAAGTTTCTGAAACTTCTGAACAGATTCGAACAGAATTTGTCAGATTACCGCGCAGCGGCTGGCTGCCCTGGTGGATAATTAATTGGACCGCGTTTAGCAGAAATGAAACCAAGCCACATCAGCGATCGCCAAATTTAATTTGACAATATAATGTTTTACAAGAGAACGTCTGTGCGGATTCCTTTGAAAACTTAAAGGAATTTGCTTCGTAATATGTGGGAAAGTCACGAAGATTTGCACAAAAATCCGCACAATTGTTTTTATGTAAAAGTTTAAATTGCCTATAATTAAATTTGAAAACTATTTTCTTCTTGCATTGTACTTTGGTGCATACTGAATAAATAGAAGTCCATTTTAGCAAACAAAAAGTCAAATGATAGAGCAATCATACTGAGATTGACATCGGAGTACCATTAAATGGACGTGCCGAGGGGGGGGGGCTGGGGAAATATTTTCGAAAAAATGGACTAACGTACTCGAAAACCCTCAGAATGTATACTATACTAAGAGTTTTGTAAGTACCGAAATGTACCGTCGAAAATATCGTACTTTTTTTTACCGTAAGGCCTCCCCCATCCATGGCCCCCTGCCCGTGGCGGCAGGATTGAACGGACCGTTTCTGTGCCCTGGGTGATCAAATCAGAATGTTTCCTTTTTCCTTTTAATACTTATTACTACTTTTAAACTTATGACTTAATTACACTATTATACTTTCAGACTATTTATACTATTAGCCGATCGTCCTGAAACTTCTGGCTCATACCCTGTACACAAATCGGAAGAATTGTGGGCACCTATGATTAAATTTCCCCTTGAAAAAAATAAAAGTAGTTTTTGTTGAGGAGATTTCTTTCAAACTTCACATAATTATTAATAGGTGAAATCTGGGAAGAAAATCCAATTCTTGCGCCGCCGGAACTCGAATCTTCCGCAGTCGCATACAGCCGCAACTGTAAAAATCCGGAATTTTTGCGCGGGATTTTCAAACCGGGGCCGGATCAGCGAGCTCGGGGGCCGGTTTTTTGGCTCTGGCGAAGGAACGGATCGACGGACTTCAAACATCTCTTCGGATATCGAAAGAACAATAAAGCACTAAATATTAGACGCAAAGCACAATCGTTTCCGACAATTTTAAAGAAAGTTCTTTTTACGCCACTTTAGCTCAATACTCGGTTTTGGCTGTGGCAAGAGAACGGTTCAACGGATTTGAAAAATCTCCTCGGATATTGAATGGACTAATAAACCATTAGATATTAGTCGCAAATCACTCTTGTTTCATCTGTAGTTCACCGGAAAAGTATAAGGAGAACTGTTATTTTTGGGCGTGAAGTTGGCTCACCATTATCAATGGTTTTTTGACTGTATATAAGAGGAGAATGGCGGCACGGATTTAAAAAGTGTGTTCTAACATTGAAATGCCTCAAACCCGACGAAAAATTTCAGTCACTATACTTATAATATCTAAAAAGTGTTCGAACCCTCAACTTCTCCCAACGTATATGAATCAAATTATTTCCATTGCGCTATTCTTTACCAGGTTCTAAAGTGTGCTTACCAAAACTGGTTTTTTTATTGTTATGTGAGAACAATTTTTAATTTAATAATTTTTATTTTAATAATGAGATAACATTTTCGATCGTAAGTAATGCACTGTATTTTTCTTTTCGGCCAAGAATTTTTCTCCTGGATTTTTTTTCCTTCCATGATGCATATTCAAAAACGAATCATTATCCAAAACATCAACTTTCCACTTTTTGGCTTAAAAATGCCAAAGTTTCCTCCTTGTCTGAAGTTCCACGATTTTCACGAGTTCTCTCGCTGTGTTGAAATAAGTGTTTTCCCTGAATTTGGAAGCATTTCTCGGCCCTTCTTCAGACTGGACGGATTAAAAAACAGGGAACATCGTGAAAAGTGCAGGTACCTATAATCCGGGAAAGGGCCCTAAAGAACAAGAAAATTTTCGCATCCTACTGGTGTTCCCACTTTTACGTTAGCACCATAAGTGAAAATATAGAGTTCAGACTCTCTTAATTTTTTTTTCGAGCTGACCGTCTTTTTATGTTGTACATATTCATCGTAGGATTAAACATGTGAAAAAAGCAGTGATAGGTAAAAAAATTTAATTTAGCGGGTCAAATTATGAGACTTACATAATGGAGGGGGGGGGGTTATGAAAGAGACGAAAATAACGGTATTAATGTCACAAAAAATCGTCTAATTATCGCGATTTCGGAGCATGTTGTGCCAATTGCCTATCCGCTCATATGAAGGCACTATACTATCGGGATATTTCGCGTTAATATCGCAAAAAATCGAAATAAAAGAGGAATACCTAAATTGCAATATAAAGTTTTGTTGATGGTTCCATCAGGGTCCGATTAAGGGAGTGGCCACATGGGCCACGGCCTGTCGTGGCGGCAAATTTTGCATTTTTTTAAAATGTAGGTTTAAAAAAAATCGGAGTGAAAAAAAAAACTTACAAACCAGAAAGCGTCTTTCGGTGACACAAGAGACAGCACCTTCAAGGAGTCGAGTTAAGAGAGGAATCAAACACGCAATTTGGCACGGAGCGGCGCAGAGAGCGATGATGATGATGAGGACTTCTGCCGTGATAGCGAAGAGAGCCGTAGGTGCAAAAAAGAAGTTTTGAGAAAACGGGCTCAGAAGCTTCTGACAAGAACATTTTATTGAAAGAAGCCTCCGTTCTTTTTCAAATTGCCACTAATCGCCCGGAAGACTCCTAGAAATCTTATGGATGATTAAAAGTCGACTGATTTTATTTCCATTACACAAAAACGGTATTTTTCATTTTCATGTAAGGTTATTGTTGGGCAAGACAGCCGTAAAAGTGCTATCTTCTGCATGCTTTCGTGGTTGCGTTTTGGACGCCCAACAAACACATTTTCAGGTTAGAAATTGGCAGAAGAGGGCCGGCACTTTACTGGAAGGCACTGTTTTCACTGGCTCTCATGCATCTACGCGCTGTCTTGAAAAAAACCGTGTCATTTTTTGTGCACTTACGGCTTTTTCATACGTCTCGTTTTCATTAAATTAGGATGAATTTTGTTGTTTTAATTGTCTCAGTATAATTTCATCTTAAAGAGTTTAGACAAATTTTGAAGAAAACTCGATTTCGAAAATTTTCCACTTACGGCTCTCTTCGCTATCACGGCAGACTTGAGATGAAAAGGAGAGGCCCTCAGCGCGGCGCACGGTGAATCGAGTCCATGAGAGTGGTCGGAAAAAATTTGGGAACTTTAAACGCTTATAACTCCGTTTATACAAGAATCTGATGTTCTGCAAGTGGTTCCATTGGTTTTCTCGTGATATTTTCTTCCAGCATCACCCCTTGAACTTTAAAATGTGACGAAATAAACATCAACATTTGCAGTTTTTGTCAAAAATTTCATGTCTGACCTCTCTAATAGACTCAATCCACTGTGAGGCGGTCGGCGTGAAACGCATAGCGCCTACAAGACTGTAGGAATACTTCACGCTTTGCGCCAAACAGTGCGGTCAGCGCGGCGCGGCGGAAGTTAAAATTATTAAACCACATTTAAGGATGTTTGTTCTTGCATAATTTTTACGTTCATTTCTTACAAATGGAAGGCCTTGTTCACACAGAGATAGGTTTACGGAACTTAACTTTTGCGCAAAGTTCCGTGAACTTTTGCTACTATAGTGGTGACAGGGTTTTCGCAAAAATGTGCCAAACGTGGCTCGTGGCGCCACGCAACAAAAATTGTTGCATTTATAGCATCAGTTTCTAAAATGACCTCCTGACCAACTTCAGCAATTAAATCAGTGATTTTCCATCCATATTTGCTTTAGGTCCTTCACTGTCAGTGATTACATTGAGAATCTTGCTGTAATGAAAAAGTGTGAATCCCCGTTTTCATCAAAATTTAATAATTTTACCAGCCTCCGATACTGACTGACACCATAGCTATACTTTAAGCTAAGTGACATGAGCATCACATTCATTGGTAAATTTCCGTCAATGATAGGAATCGCATGCGTATAGGAAAGTATATCTAACCACGTGTGTCCAGTTCTCTCCCGGAGGTCTTGCCTGAGGTAAGATATCCAAATTCCACTTATCACAATATTTCAAACACTTTAAGGTGATTCGCGTCAAGCTCAAACGACGTGGTCGAAGTGGAGTGCGATATATCTCATCGATTAGGTCAAAAATCTCGGCAAATTTTGAATTTTTAGCAAAAAAAAGGACGATAGCCCCTGCGCATGAGCCTAAAGAATCATTCTAAACCCAAAAATCAACAAAATTCAGAGAAATGAAAGTAGACTAGTATTTGGAAAAAAAACCTCGCATTAGATACAGAAATTGATGGCTGAATCGAATGCGAGGTTTTTTTCCAAACACTATNCTCAGAATGTTCTGAGAATATTCCGAGAACATTCTCAGAATATTCTGAGAATGTTCTGGATTTATCAATGAATGTCCTCAGAATATTCTCTGAATATTCCTGTGCTATCTGGGATTCTGCTTTCATTTCTCTGAATTTTGTTGATTTTTGGGTTTAGAATGATTCTTTAGGCTCATGCGCAGGGGCTATCGTCCTTTTTTTTGCTAAAAATTCAAAATCGACGGAGATTTTTTACCTAATTGATGCGATACCTATATCGCATGCCAGTTTGACCACGTCACTTGAGCTTGACGAATCACCTTAACAATTAAATAATAAATATAAATTAAAGCAGATATTTTCTTAAAGATTTGCCGGTTGCTAATTTATTTTTTGTGATTTTTTGCCCTTCGCATCTTGAACTACGATGGTTTTGAATGATTCAAAAAGTAGCAGCTGCGTTCCCTTGTGAGGACTTGCCACGATCGTTGTTGCTAAAACTGTTGCCGTGGATCGGCAACAGTTTTAGTTTACTTACCGCCCGGTCTCCATTAGATGTTTTCGGGCAGCTGATTGTTGCAACTTCTCGTTCGACTCTTAGCATTCTTGCAACAAAATTGCTATATAATCAAGAAACAAGGATCCTGAGAGTTGCTGCTAGGTCCATTGGTTGGGACAGCTAATTTTGAGGTCCAAAGGTAAGTAATTGCCGTTCATCAGTTGCAGGGTCGGACTGGCTCGCATCTGAGGGCGTAGACCCTTGGCTGGTTAAAGGGGCGTAATGTGATATTTCCTGATGGGGCATCCCTATCAGGCATTGCCCTTCGTGGAGAGGGGTTCAGAAAATTTTGGCGAAGCAGCACAAGTTTACGCTATATTTTCAGGTTCAAAGTTTTTTAATCGTACAGAGTAAACATTGTAAAATTGAACGTATTGAAGTGACCGACAGAATTCTGAAATTAAAGAAAACAAAAAAAAATTAAAGCCACTGGACGCATCCAAGCACCATTATTTCTACAAGAACCGTGTCAGTGCTGCGGTTTACACGAGCTGAAGACGTGGGTCTAAAAGTCCATCCTAAAAAAGAATCAGGCAAGAACCTGAAAAAAGAAGAAAGAACGAGTATCAACACAGCCGACGACAAGAAAGACGTATTCGGGCCTTTTTTTTAACTTTTCTTCCGAATCTGAGCGACACCTCATTGGCAGCATATAGCAGAGCATTGAGAACTCACGCTTCGCGTCATCGCGCCTTCAATTTTTCAGATGCAGCACGGACGTCCATCAAGTACGAATAGTTGTATCTCTGCGCCGTCGTTAACGCGCATCCTTTCCCTCGCTCTATTTCCATGTTGTGTTTGTTTCCGTTTGTTTTATTTGTAATTTTGCTTTAAACTAGAAGAGCATTGCGAGTTCACGACTCACGCCATCGCGTCTTACATTTTTCATATGCAATGTGGACATCCATCTTGCGAGAATAGTTGTATCGCGTTTACACTTTAGATATCTCTTATTTTTGAATTTCGAAATAAATTAAGGCTAAATTTGCCCGAGATATGCTATGATTTATGTCCAAATCAAAAGTCATTTTGAAAAGGAAGAAATATGCTTAAAGGTCTCTCATGAGGTCTATAAAGTGTGCGTATGTCGAAAAATCGAACCGGCTATCGTTTCTACGGGAGTTGCAATAGAGAATGAAGGAGGGGGATATAGCGCCTGTATGTCAACAAAAAGGTAACAATTTCACAGAAGAGTGTTTACGCTTCAGAAAGTAGTTCTTGGACCTCTGTTCACCCCTATGCGTAAAAGCACCTCTCTTCACTCCTAACTCTCTCTTTTTCCGTTCATTTAAGGAATTTTCCGTTCATTTAAGGAATTTTCCGCACATATTCTCGGTCGTATTTTTTTTTCTCTTCTTATTTTGCTATCTGTCAGAGGGGCGTGTTTTTGGCGCGCCAAGGGGGCGCATCTGCCAATGGCAGATTGGCCTTATGGCCAGTCCGAGCCTGATCTGTTGCAACGATCTATTGTCCGAAGAAAATAATGGAGACGATGTGGACAAAACCTAGTAATTGGCCGGCTTTAACCAAAATTTTCCCAGCTTAATTAGGTACACATTGCCTAATTTCCTAACATAATTAATTTTTCTCAAACCACAAACTATATATACTCTGCTTTGAAATTGTTTCATTATAATAGTCATCAAAATGAGGAATTTCATAAAATTTTTCAAGGCATAATTATACTTCTTACTCTCTGGTGAAATAAAAAAAAAAAAACACGAGAAGAAATTTGAGAATGTGAAAATATGGTTCAGCTACTTCAGATTAAACCTATCAAATTATTATTCTACAATTCAGAACGTTGAACAAAGAAGGATGAACGGACGTAATCATAGGCAAGATGTATTTTCTCCCCAAAAATTATGCAATATTTCAATTTTGGATTGGTCTTTGTCATTTGGCTTCAACAATTCTCGAAAGCGCC